TTAAGATGAACCATTCATCTTCACACCGCTACTCGCACTTAATTGATAATCTTTTCCTATCGTACGTTGCCACTGCAACTAACACTTACAATCTTATGGATTAAAATAACTTAGTGGAATTTACTATACGATAATAAATTATCTCTTACTTAATTTGAAATACTTCTTATAGTATCAAATTATCTTCAAAATTAACTTAAATCAAATTTTAAACTGATGGCTACGTCAATCGTTCTAAAGTGTGTGTTTCATATGGTCTGAATGAACACAGCGTAGCTCGTTTATGATTAGCTCATTAAAAGAAAGCAGCAACAACCTTTTCTCCAGTATTTGATTACTTGTGAATAAATATGGATACTCTACAACAATGTTGTGGACCGTAGATTTTGTTCAAAAAAAGACATTACCAAAGGTTAGCCTAATTCCAATGAAAGTGATGATGTGCAGACATTTGTAATCACCGTACAGAAGTTGATAGGGTTTTCATGGGATAAACTACCTCACTATATGAAGGAGGTAGGTAGGTAATCTTTCCGGGTGGATAGTTACCATCATGATGATTTTTAATTTGTACGTTGGCTGTCGTCTTGTAGGTTAACTTCAGTAGTATATTGATGCTCTGCGATTCCACTATTTCATTTCACTGTGAATCTGCTGCTATCCTTAACATTGTCATTGTCCATCGACTTGGCGAAGGTCCATATGCTGAACTTCATTCATTTCACTGTCCATCTGTGATGAACGATGGCCCTATTGCTGCAAGAACCGAGAGGGCTCACAAAGGGCCTGGCTTGACCAGGATTTGAACCCACTGGCACGTGGGTAGAGCGACTTAACCATTCGGCTATTAGCCGCCCGTACTTAATAATAAACTTCTTTTTTTGAATAAATGGTTGAAAATACGAACGGACTTATGTAAAAACCCTTTATAACTTAGTTTAATCTGACTAAATAATTTTTATGAAAATATGGATCTTATCGAAATCCAGTAATATTACCTTATCAGTAAGTTTTTTAACATTTAAAAATGTTGTAGTTGATTTATTCCATTTATTCTAATACGTAATTGAGATACAATTCTATTTATATGTTAAGGTAAAAACATGTTATTCACTCGATTGACTATTATATCAAACACTTGAATAGAAGCGTAAACACAACGCACAAAATTCCCATATTTCTTATAACGTAATATTTGATCGTGACTTCCGGTCATAGAGATAAACAAAAATATTTTTTTCCAAATTATACTTTGAAATTATTATTAAATAATAAATTAATTAATTGTACAGTTTGAATTGAAAAAATAATAGTATCAAAAGCAACTTAAATTTTCTCATGGGTCCGTTGACCTTAAACTTTATTAAAAGCACGAAATCATAAATAACTTTTACTTTAAATAGATCATAATTTATTAGTTGTGTGTTCGAGTTTCCCTTTAATCACTTTATTATGTCCTATTTCGTTTTCTCGTTTAGTTCGGCCGATTCACACATGCATACCTCCATCCTTCTCTCGCGATTAATTTATTTTATTTATCGAATCGAAATTCAAGCTGTTGGCATTGCATCAAAGAAGTACTCACGTCTCAGATGCGGGATACACTCAATGAAAAACGTCCTCACTTCGATCCCCAACGAAAACAGAAATCGTATTAAATATAATTCACTTAGGTGTTTTACAATTTATATAATTAGATATGAAAGTTTATTTTTGAAATATGTTACAAACAGCTAAAAATGTTTTATTTTGTTGTATTTTTATTTACATTACGTCTAAAATTAATGAATGATTTTTTGTATGTTTTTGGATATTTCTAATTAAATAAAATTCTTATGTTAGTAAAGTAAAGATTGGAATATTTTTTCAACAATATCTATTTTGCTAAAATATTATTTACAAATTATTAACAATCGGAAAAATTTATATACATATTCTTTCTTCAATTATACTTCTTATTTAATTAAATTATGTAATTAACGATCATGAAAAGCGTTGGATAAAATAAATAGATTTTTAGTATTTCAGCAATAAAATAAATCGTGAAAATCGATAGAATAACGTTGTATTGGTTTTGACTCGAAAATATATGTTTTTGCTTTGTTCATTTCCATTTATAATGCACATATTTTGTATTTTTGTATATTTATGTGATTTTAGTGCACTCACATTAATTATGGACAGTGTTTTTCCATATTACAATTGATTTCAAAATATGTTTTTGTATTCGTAATTTTTATATTATTGTGTCAGTTCTGTTAAACTTTAAAATTGGTTTATCCCTTGAAGCGATGTAACCACTCTAGATACTTTAATAGGCCACTCAATCCCATCTGCAGGTTTATAGCTCGACGAAGTTGGCTAATTGTGTAACTTGTGAAATGGTCCTGATTTTGTAATTGTAACCTATAGAAGTCTCATAAAGTCATTACCAAAGCCTATTACATCAATAATTGAGATTGGCAGTGAGAGTAAAAGCGAAGTTCGATTCGTCAAGCCGTGCGTCCGTTGCCTGGTGTTCACTTAAACATGAAAATAGGCATTTCCCCCCTTTTATTTTATAACCAACCCACTTTTCTCTCTCTTTTCAATCGCTGCATTTGTTACATTTCAGTGTCTCTTTGTCCAATAATGGATCGTCTGCAATTAGTGCGGAAATTCGATTAAAAAGTGCAATTATTCGGGCATGTAGATGGTATCGACGACGGGGTTGAGCGATTACCACAAACCTTCCGCAATGCTCCGGTTTTTGTTTGCTTTTTTTCTTTCGTTTTTCGTCAAATGCTCCCGATTTTTAATTAAAACCGTCGGTAATTTTGCATTCGGAAATAACCACAAAAGCGCATCACTGCACGCCGTTTCATTAACTTTTAATTAAGTCACATATCGTGAAGCGTTTTCCATCCAATACTGCTGTTGCCATGGTTCTCGACTTGTATTTTGTATGCAGGTATTTCTTGATTAACGCTCCAAAGGTTGTCACACATAGCCGTATCCGTGCAGAAACGGAAATATCGATGGCATGTGGCACTTACTTCCGTCGTTCACGGCTTCTAAATGTACAAAATATTGAGGAAATAAGCTACACGTAATCAATGTATCAAAATGATTTTATTACTTTAAAATTAGTAGAGTAGCAAACTATTAGCTCTATATTAAAATCTAATATCTAAAATAAACAGTTATTTCTTGAATAGTTGCATTTTTATCTAAAACACGTGGAACCGAAAATCGCGTAAATTCAGTATGTACGGCTGTATGCGTAGGACGCCACAAATTCAAATTGGTCAGAGTCTTACAAATTCAAATTTACCTGTACACCATGAAACGTTAATTTATAATAATTTCTTTGTTTCTTGAAAAAAAAAATTGTTTCCAAATTACGAAATATCCTACGTATTTAATATAGTTATATCTATTTATAATTTTTATTGAACCATTTTGGGCTAAGTTATAAAATAATTACGGTACAATATCTTTGCAAAAAATGGAAGTTCCATCAATGATTATAAATAATATAGTATCATAATACTATAGCTTTTATAAAAATGAAGAATTTTATTTAGTGACGAAACTTGAAATATTTGTCCTTCCTGTAAAATATTATTTAAGGCCCTTAAATGACTAGATTTTTCTAAGTAGCGAAGTACTCAGTCAAATTTGATGGCCATAAACATTTTTTTAATTTCAGATCCCTATAGATCCACCCCCGCCGGCGGGGTTCAGCGGAATTGTAGTTCCATCACTGATTTGATTACAGTATATATTAAAATGTTTTATTAACATATATTTGTATTTGTATTTATGATTAACATATATTTGCACTTATATTTATAATGTTATATGCGTTGAATCTATTTTATGTATGTACACAGTGGCGGATTACTAATTAAGACATTGAAGTTTTTTTAGGGAGGCCCCAAACTTAAATTCCCAAACTATGCTTATAAATGAAAATTGTGTACAGATTTTTTAGAACTATTTGTGCTCAATTAAAATTTAGTATATTTTATAATTTTAAAAGCTGTAAAACATTTTTTGTATAATTTTTTTTTCGCTCAATGTAAGTTTTTCTTTTGTAATTTTCGAACTAGACTATAGTGCATCTGAACTGATTGAAGCCTTACTATGCGAAGTTTTTCAATTTTACTATTTTCCATAAAATTGCGCTTTAAATAATAAATTATGTGTACATAAAGATAATATGAAATAAGTTATAACAGCATTATTTTATTAGAGGATACTTTGGCGCCAGATACAATTATGTTATATTATCCGCTCTGCGTAATCAAATATTGGATTTCTCATTAAACCGGAGGGTGTTTTCTTAGATTGAGAGATAATCAATATTGTAAACAATCTCGTAAGGGATTGCAGGGTTCTTGAACTCGGAATTAGAGCTTTTTATTCAAGGTGAATATCGCAGGATAATTGCCCGCATTCATTTGTAACTGGAGAGAGAAGGAGACAATGCGCACCAAACACACAACCTTTCCGGTTTTATTTTACCATCTTCTTTCAGTTATTAGACCACCCTTAATCTTTGTCGTCTTTTTTATCGCGTTATAAAATGTCGTGGAAGAAAATAAAACGAGAAGAGAATTTTGTCGTATGATAGTAATAAAGTGCGAAACAGCAATAAATTGCATTTCTATTTTCATCCGGGACCCGTTTCCGCTTTTTCTTCTTCCTCTTCTTCTTCTTCTACCTCACTGGTATTGATAAATCATCTTCCTTTTCTCGTGAGCTCATCAAATACTTATTGCCGCTTAGATTGAACAGTTTTCACTCGAGAGTTTTGCCGTCCGAGTGGCACGCCGCATTTTCCCCATTCACTTAATATCATTGTTATGATCCAGTTAAATATCCGTCCTTATAATAACACTTAATCTTTTTTGGAGAAACTTTCACAAAGTACTTAATACTTGTTGTTTTATTTTTATATTTATCTATATTTGTGCAAATGGTTGAATTGCGGTTCTATTTTTTTGGTTTTTCAGATTCCAGCAAGAAATTGCAGGACGTTTTGGTAGAATTCTGTGGTACAGGTCCACCTTATAAACACAATCCAGATGGGGTAAGTTCAAAGTTATAAATTTTAGTATACAATCTGAACACTATATATATATAACATCACTTTATAACATCTGAAATAGATCATATTATGTAAATTGAAACAATAACAATATTTCTTCAAATTTGAATCTAATCCAATTGACTCATTTTTACACAGCCTTTTTGAAAACTAAACTCGAAAATATGTAAACTTTGCGTTAGCTATTGAAATGATCTGCACAAAATTATCATTTAATTCATCAAAAATACAAACAAATACATATAATGTGTTATGGTTAAGTCTTTCCGCCCATATCAAAATTAATCTTATATATTAATTATATTAAACATATGATATTATATAATATTAATAAATATTTATTTTCATATTGTTATTTCCAATAATAAAACCGTATCTATTGTGTCTCATTTAATATTAATGATTATTAAAAATAAAACAATATTAAATTAAAAATACATTAATTAAAATGACTCGTTCATTTATAATTGTGTTACAATTTCATTAAATGATTATATAATAATTTGAAACGTGCATAGTAATAAATCGATATTACTATGCGCGAGTTTTAATGCATGATTTACTGTTCAGAGAAAATAAATAATATAGTTGGGGATAATTAATCAAAAGCAAATTCAACGGCCTGTGCAGTGAGATGATTTCAATTAAGTTCCTACCAAAGTTGGCATCCTTTTATTCTCAAATACTTTTGCCAGACTGCATTTCAAATAAAAAAGGTTTTATTGTTTGCTTTTAGAATAAAAGCTGGTTTATTAACTTTTTGTTGGAAATTATCATTTAATATAATATTGATTGTTGGCCGCTTAGATCGTGCGATTTAATGAAGTCAAATTTACCACGGAAGTCCGAAATTACCATGAATAATCGGAGTTTTACTGTATATTTATTTACAATATTATATTTCTAAGTGTTTCTTTTTGTAATTAAACCGTCTTGTTTTGGTTTTTGCAAATACTATAAGAAAAAATCTATCATTCAGTCACATATCAAACTATACTCAACATATACGACACCATATATTTGTACAACAATTTAGCAACAAAGTGATTGCCGATTTTCATATAAAAATGAAACAAGATTATTTTATATAATTATTAAACTTTATTCAATAATATATTTTCCATTTTGATTAAAGACCTTTTGCCATATTTCCGTCAACTTCATTACTCCACGCTCATAGAACTTCTGGTCTATATCAGCAAAATAAAAAAACTTGAACTAAGTGTAATTTCACAGCATTATCACCATTGAAGGTTTTACAATTCAGAAAATTTTGTAAGGCTCTGAACAAATGGTAATCTGATGGCGTTAGTGACATCACTTCCTAACCAAGCGTAATTGTTAGCCAGTTACTAATGATATGTGTGGCCTAGCGTTGTCATGGATACAAAACCTTTACGATATACTAACGTAGGCCGTTTTTCTTGAATTATAGAGTTACAAAATACGTTTGTAATCCCATCAAACTGACAGCATACTTTTCTTTTGGTGCATTTCAGCTTTCGATGTTGCTTGTGCTGGTTCATTTTCTTAGAGCTTCATCACCATATACAGCGCTTAACTTTTTAGCAGCTTTTGTTGCGTTCTTTCCTTTCGGAAATAATAAAGCAATATATGACGAAAATGAACGCTTTTGTTTACCATGTTAAAATTGACCCACACAAACAAATCTCACTGAAATATACACTGAATTTGGTTTTCAAGAAAGCTAAAGTTCACAGCTGATAAATGCCAAAACTATATAATTGTAACATTGATAGAAGTCATTCAAAAGAATCACTACTCCCATCCAAATTTAAAATCGACAACTACTTTTTTTCCAACCCAATAAAAACAACATTTAGAATTTTTATTTTAATTATAGATGATAGGAAATACAAATAATTTAAGTGCAGCTTGCATTTTAAATAAATTGTGTTTAATGATACATATTTACGTAAATAGTGATAAATGATCGATACGACTTTGCAACCAATGTGTGAATTTTCTACATGATTTAGTATGTTCAGTGAAAATAAATAAAATTGATGATGTTAATTAATCAAATGCAAATTTAACTGCGTGAAATGCAATGATTTCAATTAAGTTCTTGGCAAAGTTGTCGATGTGTGCGTGTTTCTGTATATTTACATGTATAATATGTGTGAAGTGTATGTTGTGACATATCCCAAAATACGATAACGCGACCACGCAAGAACACATTCCGTATAAGTTGTACCATATGAATGCAATTATAACTTTGCTAATTGCACAAAATGTCACCGCGAACTATGAACCGTAAAATAATGCGAGCTGCGACTTTTAATTGTCCCAGGACCGCTCAAATTTAGGATACGTATTACATGAGCTGTATGGATACTGATAGTCTGAAAACAATTTTGTTAAATACACATCAACATTAGGTAAAACTTCTATTCGATTATTATATTGCTAGTTAGTTGATTATGGTATGAATTTTTGGGATTAAGTTGAATTATTATTATTTTTAACGTAGAATATTAATTAGTATTCACAAATTATTATATTATTCACTATTCCCTATAAATTACATGAATATAGGTGCTTTGATTAGTCTTGTTTAATATATTATTGAATGGTGTTATCATGTATAACAACATAATATATTAATGTTATTCAATTGTTTAATTACCAACTATACATTAAATAATATATTGTAACCCTTTCCTCTATTATTGTAATGTATTGAAATTAATTCTGATCACGTCTACAGACTATCTGTTTAAACTAATGAAGTGGAAAATAACGTTGGGGTAATCAAGAATGTCGTGGAAACCCCTCGCATTTCCAAATGCTTTGTTCTATTTAATGCTTCATTTGCATTTGACATAATAACAAGATGTTTTATCTGAAAACTAACTGAAAAATTATATTGTTATTTCTATAATTATAGATGTAAAACAAATATATTATGAACTTTAATCGTATAACAATCATAAATTTAACTATTACAAGTTAAGTTAAATTTTATATTTTTTAGTGAATACAATTGGTAAATTTAATGTAAAAAAAATGTGTTCATTGTATGTAAACTGTCATACAAAGATGCTATACTACATTATTTACAAAACATTTTTAGGCGTTTCATAAACCTCTTGACAATTATATAAATAAGAACAATTATACTGCGCAAGAATAAGCTATTATGTATGTAGTTTATCTGGTTTAAATTAACAATACAATAACAATTGAACTGCAACTTTTCAGATCGCTGTATTTTTTAATTTGAAATTGTATTTTATTGATCCTCAAGCAAAAATTGTTGGAAAACAATTCAATTTTTCGAATTCATATAAAATTTTAGATATGGCCGCCTTTACCGTGAACTATGGCTCTGAGTTGGTCGACAAGCGAGTCTCACGCTGCACGAATGTGAACCTGCTGAATCTTCGTCCATTTCTTGAGAATATTAACACTCTATTTTTCAGAGCTGACATTGGTTTGTAAAATGCACCATACCAAGAAGTCGAGCAGATTTGCATCTGGTCACCGTTGATGTGTGGAACGTTGTCTCCCAGCCTTTGTTGGTTTTCATGTATTTTGTGTGATGGTGCAGAATCGTCTTGAAATGTCCACTCTTTCTGACTGAAATATTTGGTTTTCCAAACTTCAGAGCACCTTCAAAACTTTTTCGTGGTAGACATTCGCATTAACCTTGACATCACGGTCCAAAAACACCAACGGAGAGCGACCATCGATCGTCACAGCCTACCAAACCACCACAAACGGTGGTGCTTGACTTTTTGTAGCCATTCAAATTATCGTTTGACTTCTCTTCTAAGTCGATTCGATTATTTAGTTTGTTTACAAATTTCACAATTGGAAAAAAAATCTCATCAGAGAAGACGAGAAGACGCGCAATTGACCGCGTTCGTGCAAGCGCAACAGCTCCTTCGTTCTATCGAACCTAGTTTTACTTTAAACATCGGTGAGATCTTGTCTTTATGAAATTTGTAAGGCTTCACTTTGAGTTTGTTTTTGAGTATTCGTTGCATGGTTATTTTCGATATATTCAGCTGAGTAACCATTTGTCACTGCGTCGCGGATTTCATTCAACTCGACCCTTAACTTTCCGAATAACTTCTGTTATAGATAAAAAAAAATTTCCGACCACCTAAATACTATTTTGGAATACTAGCTTTGTTATAACGTGTTATGGTTATGGACACGAAAGATTTATTCACATTTATTCCGCTCACAAAAAATATCCGTGATGGAATTCAAACGTAATAGTGTGATAGCCGTATATATCACACTATTACGTTTTAATTCCATCACGCATTTTTTTTTTCCAAAAAACTGAGAAGCAAATACTTCCGCAGGCTTGTAAACAATAAAATCAGCTAGCATTAGGAGAAATATGGAAACAGCATTACTAGCGGTTCGAAAATTATAGCAGTTTTAATACTCTCTTGATACTTAACAAATATCAGGCTTAATTAGTTTTGCTATTTTGAAATAAATATCAATTAGTTAATTATATGTAAACGTCCTAAATTACATCCAAGCGGACACGCTGCATCCGACATTTTTTTAGTTTTTTTTTTTATATTGTGCTCAGTGATTTATATGGAGAATCATTTCAAATGTTTATCCTGTTTTCCATTGCATTTGAAATCTAATCTGGGCAATTAATTAATGGAACTCCACGTGGGATGTAATCGAACTGGAATAGATGCGTGCGTGTCCCTGCGTTTGATAGAATTAAACGCGTTCTGATAAGTCAATTAATTATATAATATTAATTGGAAGACTTTTGCATAATAGTACTTTGAAGATGAGGCCAAGAACCAAAGGCGAACAACCACCATCCACTCATCCATCCATCTGTTTCCATGGTTCCCTTTATTCCAAAGTCAATAAATACGAACGCACCCCGTTTCAAATCATGCCACGTCACCCACGCCACGCGTGGCTCGTCACGCAACGCCATGAATATTTTTGGTCTTCAAATTTCAACTTAA